GGGGGGGGGGGAAGCGAAGGGGCTGCCACACTTGTGCCATGCCTTGGAGAAGAGCCAGGGGCAGGAGGAGAATTGCTGGGGAGATGAAAGCTGAGGAGGAGGGAAGCGTCGGTGGCGCCTTTCCCAGGGCCGGCCTCGGGAGGAAGCTGGGAGCGGAAACAGTTGATGGAGTCAATAGAAGAAGGGGACCCCCGGGGTGGGGTTGGGTGGTGGGTTGGGTTTTGGTTGGGTTTTTTTGCAGACAAAGAGCAGCGGGGAGAGCAGATAAGCGCTCCTGCTCCTTATCTCTTTGTTCAGCCCCCTGTGTTTTGCTGCCTGGCGGTTTGTTTCTGCTGTTAATCTGATGAAGTAAAGCATCGCGGAGGAGGGAATTGCTCCCAGGGCAGCGAGCTCTGCCACAGGTGTTGTCCCCCCCTCCTCTTCTTCTCCTGGGAGCCTGTCCGGGATGCATGGGGGGCAGAGGAGGGGCTGGATGGACAGAGGGATTCTTGGGGAGGGAAGGGAGCTTGCAAGTAGGTGCTTCGCTGCCGTTCCTCGTCCTGGAGCTCGGTTGTTGCCTGTTGAGTCACCGGAGGAAAATGTGATTTCATCCAGTCACACCTCCAGCTGGCTCCCCCCGCCAGCCCGCAGGCGTCTTTCCTTTCCTGGATCCCACCCCATAGGTGTCAGGGGCAGCCGGAGAAGGGGGATGAGAGCCCCAAGGCTTTGTGAAAAACCCTCCCTTTCCCAAAACTGACTCTCCCACCCCCCCCGGGCAGGGAGTCCTGCAAAACTGCCCTGCAGAAGGGCGAGGAGAGCATCTCTGCCCTTCTTCCTCTCACCCTGGGCCTTGCCCTCATTGCCCTGGGGCTGTGCTGCTCTTCTCACCCCACCTCCAGCACCGGTGGGAGCGTCCATCCGTCCCATGAGCTGACTTGCTGCAGAAGATCTGAGTCATAGAATGGTTTGGGTTGGAAGGGACCTTCAAGATCATCCAGTTCCAACCCCCCTGCCCTGGGCAGGGACACCTCCCACCAGAGCAGGTTGCTCCAAGCCCCATCCAGCCTGGCCTTGAACCCCTCCAGGGATGGGGCAGCCACAGCTTCCCTGGGTGAGTGTTTTGGCATCTCCATTACTGTCCAAGTCCTTCCTTCTTGCTGTGGGAGGGTTAAGTTAACTTACTGGTAGTGGTGGATGTCCACCCCAGCAGCTGGCCACGGGAACAAAGCCCCCACCACCTCCCAAAAGAAAAATCCCCCTTTGAGTTCCTTGGACTCAGCTGGGCAATCAGCAAAGCCTTTCATCGTCGTGACACTGGGAATTGTAGCTGGAAGGAAAAGCGTTTCCAGCCGGAGGGATGGGGAAAGGGCAGGGAGCAGCGTTGGGGGGGAGTTCCCCCGAGCCACGTGTGCCGCTTTCCGGGGCGTCTCAGCGTCTTCATGCTCATGGAAATCACTCCTCCTTGCTTTGCGAGTACGAGGAGAGCCTTGGCCGGCCGCTGCCTGCCACCCTGCTGGGGCTGGGGTCTGTCTGTCCGTCCTTCTGCTCCCCCCCTCTGTCCCTTCTGCTCCCCCCTCTGTCCCTTCTGCTCCCACCGGTGGGGCGGCGTGAGCATCCCTCATCCCCTGGGATGTAGTTGCATCCCGTGGGCTCTCCCGGCAGCAGCGGGGAGCCATCCCCGCGCCCTCCCCACACCCCCTCCCCGGGCCCTGCGGGCGGTTGGAGGGGGGTACACAGAGCCCCTCTGTTCCTGCTCACAAAGGGACGCTTGTGGCTCACTCCCTGCCCCGACCGGGCTGCGCCTCGCCGGCCCCACTGAGGAAGAGCTTTAGGATGCCGAGCAGCCTCGCCGGGTCACCCCCATGTGTGTGTCCCCCCACACCAGCCCCAAGCTCAGCCCCCCACCTCCCCACGCCTGTTGCTGCCACCCCATGTGTCCCCGGGCAGGACATTTGCAGCCGGCTGTTTATTTAATGAATGATGTCTGCCTGGGGCCCGGGAATCAGGGGGGGGTTTGCCAGCGCCGCTGGAAATGGCTCCCTGTGTCATCCCTGGGAATGGTTCCTGCTCCGCGCATCATTTGCGGTCTGGGGACATGAGAAAGGAGGAGAAGGGGGGGGGTGTGCAAAACTCCAGGCTAGCTTTGCCCTGGGATTTTGGCAGAGCAAGAGCTGTTTCACACCATCCCCGATGCCTGCATGCTCCGGGCAGCGAGGGGACGGTCCCCCCCACCCCCAGGGAGGCAAGGACAGGGATGCAGATCTCTCCCCGAGATGCCCCAAACCCAAAAATCTTTTTCAGTGATGCAGCCAGCAGCTCTGCTGGGCACTGAGAGACATGGCGGGGGGGGAGGGGGGGTTGTGTATATTTGATTTCTTCCCTGAGTTGCTCAAATAACTCCAACAAGCCCTGTTGTGGTGGGAGCACTGAGGAAGGGGATGGGGGGGACACACAGGGAAGGCAGCGTGGTGAAAAGCACCTTCCCCAGCCACCCTTCCATCCCCGAGGAGGGTTGTGCTGACAAAACTAAACTAACAGGGCTGTTAAACACACCGGCTATGTGTGCAAGGGGGTGTCATATGTGTGCAAGGGGGTGTCATACGTGTGCAAGGGGATGTCAGTGCCACTCGCTGTAGGGGGAAGGGGAGAGCCGGGGTGGGTTGGGGTTGGGGGGGGGCAACTCAGGAGCCACCGTGGCCCCTGTATCCCACCCAAACACCAGCTTCCTTGGTGCGTGGGTGTCTGTTTTTTGGGAGCTTTTTTTCTGGGAACGGGGTGGCTCCAAGCCAGGCTGTGGGAGCCGAGGTTTGCTCAAGCTGGGAAACTCCCCGGGCTGGAGACCAGGCGGGCTGGGATGCTGCCTCTGGATGTGGGGGCACGTCCCTCTCCTCCCACCAGGCTGTTGTCCCCCCTCTTCTTCCCAGCGGGGAGGGGCATAGAGTGAGCAACACCCAAAAATGCACATTTTTGGCCCAGGACGGCCAGCGTTGAGGAGGTTTTGGGGCGTGACGCAATGCCTGGCAGGGCTTCCCCTTCTCCACACCCCGTGGCTTGGCTGGGGCATCTCCCCTCCGGCAAACCCCGGCAAGCGGGGGGCCCAAAGGAGAGGGCTCTGCTGAAATCCCACCCCCCACTCCCCCCACAAAGTTTTTCCCCCTGGAAGCAGAGTCGGGACGGGCTGGCGGGGTCAGGCTGGCAGGAGCCAAACCAAATCTAAATAAGACTTTCCCTGAGTCACCGAAAGTCTGGCCAAGAGAGCGGGGACGAGCGAACGGCGTCACCCACGCGGGCGGCCCAACCAGCCGCCAGGTCCCAGGCAAGTCCCCCCCCATGCTGGGAAATCACGTGTGACACCAGCCGGGGACCTGCCTCGGTGTCCCAAATAGCAGATTTTGTCCTCTCCCCCCCCCCTAAAAATCCCTGCCACGTCCCACTCACGGGGTGGGTCTGTCCCACGAGAGGTGGGGAGGGGATGCTGAGCTTCCTTGGTGGGGTCTGCGTCCCGCACCGAGTGGCTGCACCATGGTTTGGGGTGGGTTTTCTTTGCAGAAAAAAGCCCCCGGGGAGGACGGGGGGGGGGGGGGGGGACACCCATCGGCAGCCCACCATCGTTGCTGGAAGCCCTCTGGGTTTCGTTTTCGTGCTGCAGGAAGACGGAAGCTGCGTGGCCCCAGGTTGGGGGCCCTGCGGCCGAGCCGGCATCCGTCCCGTCCCCCAGAGTAGCTCTTTCCAGAGGGCTGGGAGCCACCATGCCTCGTGGATGGGGATGAGGAGCTGCTCTCCCACCCGGGGGGGGTGGTCCTTGCTGCCGGCAGCAGGTTTTTGGCTGGGGAAGTTGGGGGGGGAGCAGGCAGCTGGCGGAGATTGGGTTTCAGGGCTGGTGGAGAGGCCGGTGGAGAGGCTGAAGGGGGTCCCATCAGGCATTGGTATTTCAGGTATTTTGGGATGGTGGGGAAGCAACCGATGGGGGCTTCATTTGGGATGGTGGGGAAGCAACCGATGGGGGCTTCAGGCAGCTGCTACTGGCGGGTGGGATGGGAGCAGTGCAGAGGAACCCCCCCCCCTCCCTTTTTTCACTGCTGTTGTCAAGACCGTGTTGGTCGTAACCTTGTGGGAAGGGTCGGTGCCCCCCCTGACCCTCCACACTGACCCTCCTTCTCCCCACAGGCAGGGCCACCCCGGGCAGGGCAGAGGATGCCGGGGGGCTAGCCCAGGACACCTCCCCAGCGGGTGGGAGGGACCTGCGTGTGCCCCCCTCCATGGAGCTCCGACGTGCTTTGCCCCAGGATTTCCGGGAGCTGCTGCACTGCCTGAAAATGAGGAGCAAGTACGCTGTCCTGCTGGTCTTCGTCGTCGGCCTCGTCATCATCGAGAAGGAGAACAACTTCATCTCCAGGTAGGGAGCAGGTTCCTAAGCCACCCCACGCTTTTTAGTCCTTCCTTTCCCCCCACATCCTCAGCTTCTGTGCAGCAGGACATCCCCCCCCACCTCTACCAGGATATGGGGTGGTCCTGCTCCTCTCCATGCTGGGCTGGGTCTCCCCGCAGGGTGTCGGACAAGCTGAAGCAGTCCCCACAGGCTCTGGTGGAGGCCAACGGCACGGAGTCCAGCCCGGCACCGGCCGAGAATGGTTCCTTGGCCTCCCTGAGAGAGCTGGATGCCGCCTTCTCCCAGCTGAGGTCCCACCTGCACAACGTCACGCTGCAGCTGGTGGGCGAAGGGGACCCCGGGCCACGGCGGCACGTCCTGCTGATGGCCACCACCCGCACCGGCTCCTCCTTCGTGGGGGAGTTCTTCAACCAGCAAGGCAGCATCTTCTACCTCTTTGAGCCCCTCTGGCACATCGAGAGGACGGTGACCTTCGAGCCTGGAGGAGCCAACGCGGTGGGTTCAGCGCTGGTCTACCGGGACGTCCTCAAGCAGCTCCTCCTCTGCGACCTCTACATCTTGGAGAGCTTCATCTCACCAGCCCCTGAGGGCCACCTGACGCCTTTCATGTTCCGGCGGGGCTCCAGCCGCTCGCTCTGCGAGGAGCCCGTCTGCACGCCCAGCGCCAAGAAGGTCTTTGAGAAGTACCACTGCAAGAACCGCCGCTGCGGGCCCCTCAACATCACCCTGGCCGCCGAGGCCTGCCGCCGCAAGCAGCACGTGGCCCTCAAGACGGTCCGCATCCGCCAGCTGGAGTTCCTGCAGCCGCTGGTGGAGGACCCTCGCTTGGACGTGCGCATCATCCAGCTGGTGAGGGACCCCCGGGCCGTCTTGGCTTCTCGCATCGTGGCCTTCTCCGGCAAGTACGAGACCTGGAAGAAGTGGGCTTCGGAAGGGGAGGCTCCCCTGCGGGAGGAGGAGGTGCAGCGGCTGCGGGGGAACTGCGAGAGCATCCGTCTGTCGGCCGAGCTGGGGCTGCGGCGGCCGGGCTGGCTGCGGGGCCGCTACATGTTGGTGCGTTACGAGGACGTGGCGCGGGCCCCCTTGCAGAAGGCGGAGGAGATGTACCGCTTCGCCGGGCTCCCCCTCACCCCTCAGGTGGAGGAGTGGATCGGCAAAAACACCCAGGCCCCCCGCGACGCCAGCGGCGTCTACTCCACCCGCAAAAACTCCTCCGAGCAGTTCGAGAAGTGGAGGTTCAGCATCCCCTTCAAGCTGGCCCAGGTGGTGCAGGAGGCCTGCGCCCCGGCCATGCGCCTCTTCGGCTACAAGCTGGCTAGTAGCCCCGCTGCCCTGGCCAACCGCTCCTTCAGCCTGCTGGAGGAGGCACAGCCCTCCTGGGTCACGTAATGGCGGCAGCGGCGGCAGCGGGGGACACGGAGGGGCTGCAGCCACGCTCTTGGAGGAGATCTTTTTTGGGGCACCCTGGGAGCTGGAGCATCCCAGCAGAGCCAACCTCGGGGTCCCAGAGAACCCCAACGATGCAATTTCTTCAGGAATGGGGGAGATGAGGAGGGTGGCGGGGAGTTCGGTGGTGGGGCCACCTCGGCGTCACGAGGAGGCCAAGCGGAAGGTGATGGGGCCGAGCGCCTTCGCGTTGTCCTCACAGCCAGGACGAGGCAAGAACAAGACCTTCTACAGAGTCAGCAAGGACCTGGACCCCAGAGGCCTTACTGGTTTAGTGCCTTCATCCACCAGCACGGACTGGGAACTGCCCCGAAGGCGTGCTGGGGCAGGAGTCGCCCGTGGAGCGCTGGCCGGCACTGGGGCTGCAAACAAAATGAGGTGACTTTATGGTCTGGTGCTCTTCCAAGTTGCTTTGGGGGCTTTTTTGGGTGTTTTTGGTGGTTTGTTTTTTGGGTTTTTTTGCCTTTTTTCCTGTGTATTTGCATCCTAGGGTCACCAGGCCGATTTATTTATTTATTTTGTGAAAAAGAAGTTGGGGGGGGGGGATGGAGGGGACAGGTGGAGGAGCTAAGCCCCCAAAAATCAAAGCAGCACAAGGTACTGCGAAGAAAGGAAGTAGACCCAGTGCTGGGGTGATGGATGTCAGACTTCACCCGGGGACCACTGCGTGTCCTGCTCCCTCGGGAGAGCCCCCAGGGACCGAGGGGCTATAAAACACACCCCCCCCAGACCCCCAACAGAGTTGGGGCTGCACCCACCCCACACGGGAGCCACCACAGACCTCGGAGCCTGCTGGAAGGCGGTCGGACTTATTTAATTAATTAAAAACAAAAATACGACAGCACACAGAGTCCAAAGCATCTCCTGTCTCCTTGGTGTTTGTGTGTGTGTGTGTCCCTCACCTGTGGGGGGGAGCCCCAAAAATATTTTTCCCCAATGGACGATTCATACCTGGGGTTCAGTAGAAGCACGAGGAGTTTCGGGGTGTTTGCCACGCGTGGGGGGCTCACCCGGCAGCCCCCTCCTCGCCTCTCCCTGTTGGCTGAAAGCAAAAATAAATAAGTTTAAAAAAAAAAAAAAGAACATGAGGCAGCTGGCCACAGCTGGGCTGCGTTTCTGCCGGCGGAGGGCAGCCGGGAGGGGAACACGCTGCTGGGCCAAGCTCACAAAAACGACGTTTTTTTGACCCAAGAGGGAGAACAGAGGCAGCATTGAGGAGCGCGGGGCCGGACGGCGGGGAGCAGCCACACCGGAGCCCCGGGCGCCTGCCTGCCCCTCCATCCGTCCGTCTGTCCATCTGTCTGTCCATCCTGGCTTTTTCCAAGCGTGGCTGCCTCTTGGCAGGGAGCATCTGGCCTCAAGGTGGGGAGCCAGGGTGCTCGGCGCCGGGAGAGGGTGCAGAAATGGGTTTTTCCTTTGTCTGGAGTAGTGTGGGTGATACTTGAGAGCCATCCACACACACACACACACACACACCCCATCTTGCAGGCAGCTCCCGGGATTGCCAAGTGAATCGGGTTTTGTCGGGAGGTTTCCCACCAGGAAAGCATCGGGGTCACCGAGGTCAGCTGGGAAAATCCCATGGAGCACAAGGAAGTAGGGGGGACACACAACACCACCACATGGCCAAACCCTCCGGCAGCAGTGACAGGCACACACCCCTCCCCTGCTTCTGCCAAAGCAGCCGAATTTGCAAAAAATTCAGTTGTTGGCAAAGCGAATAAAAGTTGAACTGAATCGTTTCACAAAGCAGCACGGTTTGGTATCGTCGCTGATGGTGCCAAACTGGGAGGGCTGGCCGACACTCCAGAGGGCTGTGCCACCATCCGGCATGACCTGGACAGGCTGGAGGGCTGGGCAGAGAAGAACCTCATGAGGTTCAACAAGGGCAAGTGTAGGGTCCTGCACCTGGGGAGGAAGAACCCCAGGCACCAATACAGATTAGGGGTGGATCTTCTGGAAAGCACGTCTGAGGAGAAGGATCTGGGGGTCCTGGTGGATACCAAACTCTCCATGAGCCAGCAACGTGGCCTTGTGGCCAAGAGGGCCAGTGGGATCCTGGGCTGTGTAGGGAAGAGTGTGGCCAGCAGGTCAAGGGAAGTCATTCTCCCCCTCTGCTCTGCACTGGGGAGGCCACAACTGGAATCCTGCGTCCAGTTCTGGGCTCCCCAGTTCAAGAGAGACAGGGAACTGCTGGAGAGGGTACAGCAGAGGGCTACAAAGATGATGGAGGGATTGGAGCATCTCCCTGATGAGGAAAGGCTGAGAGAGCTGGGGCTCTTCAGCCTGGAGAAGAGAAGGCTGAGGGGAGACCTTATTAATCCTTCTAAGTATCTAAAGGGTGGGTTGAAGGAGGATGGAGCTGGACTTTTCTCAGTGGTTCCCAGTGACAGGACGAGGGGCAACAGGCACAAGCTGGAACATGGGAAGTTCCACTCAAATCTGAGGAAGAACTTCTTTGGGGTGAGGGTGGCAGAGCCCTGGAACAGGCTGCCCAGGGAGGGTGTGGAGTCCCCTTCTCTGGAGATCTTCAAGACCCACCTAGATGCTCCTGAGTGATGTGCTCTGGGCAACCCTGCTTTGGGAGGGGAGTTGGACTGGATGGTCTCTAGAAGGTCCCTTCCAACTCTGACAATTCCATGATTCCGTAAAGAGCTGCTCAGCTGCCAGAGCTGGGAAGGGGACATCAGAAGGGTGCCCAGTGTCCCCCTTCCCATCCCACCATGCACGGAGGAACCTCAGGGCTTGGGCAAAGCGAGGTCTAGAGGGGGAAGGAGAGAGAAACAGAGGGAGACACGAAGCAGACGGTGAGGGATGGGGGAGCTGGGATGGGTTGAGGCTGGAGAGGACGGTGACAACCACCCCCTCTCCCCTGCACTGCCGGCACGGCCCTGGCCCCATCCAGCTCCAGCCTGTCACTTCTAACGAAGCAAGAGCATTTCTCCCTGGCCACCCTCCAGCTTCCCGTCAAAAAACGTCATGGGACAGAAAGCAAACGTGCCCCTGACCCCTGCAGATTTCCGCCAGGGCTAATTACTCCCATTAAACCCCCGTAGCCGTGACTCCCAGGCGGTGCCGGGCGCATTGGGAAGCCACAAGGCTCCTTCGGAGACCAAAGCAGCTGAATTTTCCCTGTGCCCATCACGGGGGTGTGGGGTTTGTCCCCTTAGGAGGGTCACCTCCTGCTCACCCTGCCCTGGCTGCTGATGGGTCTTGCTCCGGTCCTTCCCTATAGGAGGAAAGGCATGGATTTTTGGGGAGAAAAAGCACAAGTGTGGAAAACCACAAGAGGCAATACCTTAGAGCAAGGACACACCTGTGTTCAGATGCAGCTTCACCCTTCTTCCGTCCGCACCAATGCCAAAAAAAAAAAAGAACAAAAAAAAAAGCCACCAAAAAACCCCAAACCCATCCCATTTCAAGGGTCGGATCCAAGCTTTCAGAAATAAAGCAGCTCCCAAATGCACCAGGCTTGCTTTAAAACAGCCTCCCCAGGTGATCCCTTCCTCATTGCAGCTCAGTGCCCACAGCTGTGCTGCCTCACCTGCTCAGCCTGCCCCAAGCTGTATTTTGGGAGGAAATCAGGCACATTGGGGTGATGCCAATTGTCACCAGAGGGACATTTTCTGCCACTAGCCTAGAGCAGTGCGGGGACACGTGCCCCATGGGGCAGGGCGACCGGGCAAAGCCTGCTTCTCCTCGGGGTTATTGCAGGTGAGGGGAGATGATGTAGCACCAGTGAGAGCTTTAATAAATTATGTATGTCCAGTTCCCCTCTAAATGGGATCTTTCTGGTTAATGCTTTCCTCCACTGGGCTGATCCAGACTTGACTTTGGATGGCAGGTACACCCTGCTGTTTCCCTGCCTCCTTCTTGGGGACACTCGGGGCTCACTGGGGTTGTGCTGGCATGGCCAGGCTTGCCCTGGAGGGGCAATTCCTGCTGGAATCAGAAGATGCTGGTGCCCACCAAGTGTGAGAGGGTGCCCACCTTGGACACCCTGATGTTTGATGCCTGGCCAAGGTGGCAAACTGCACGATGGATGGATGAAGCCAAGCCACCAGGCTGGCCCATAGAAATGCATTAAAAAAGGCCTTTTTCCAGCTTGGCACAAGGTTTGTCCCAAAGCTCAGAAGTCGTGGCTGCTCCACCAGTTGTTCTGACCCCCCTCCATCCCCTTGTCCTTGCTTGCTCCAGCTCCATTTAATGGGATCGGGCGGGCTAATCCCCCCAGGGCTATCAGCTGGGATTTCGGTGCTGGGGCTGGAGGGAAACCCATGGCCCAAGCACCCACCTGCCCTCACCCAGGCCCCGTTGCCTTCTGCTGGAGGTCAGATCCACCCTTCACTCCACGGGGAGGCTCGTTGCCGTTCCCACAGGGTGCTGGTCCATGGCTCTGGCTCCATTTGCCTGGATCCTGGCTCGGCGGGGGGACCCGTGGGCCAGTGAAGGACCAGAGGCTCATTGCCATTCCCACAGGGTGCTGGTCCACGGCTCCGGCTCCATTTGCCCAGACCCCGGCTCGGTGGGGGGACCCATGGGCCAGCGAAGGACCGGGGGCTGCAGCACACGTGGACATTTCAGCATTAAATGACAGCCTTGTTTTCTGTTGTGTTTTTTTAAGAGACTGCATGCCTGACCAGACCGCATTTCTTGGTCTCCATCCCATATTTATCCTGTAATTACACCTTCGGACAAAGGCTGCCTGTCTGCGAGACTGATATTTTTTTTTTTAAAGGACACGGTTTTATTATAGGTGGTGCTTTCACTGTAGTGCAGTCTTGGGGGGGCAGGGGAGAGAAAACCCCCCCACAATTTGGGGGTGAAAGCTGTTCTGTCTTGAAACCTGTCCCAAGAGCAAAGGAGGTTGCACGAGCCCTCTCCTTTCCTTTGCTGAAGGAAAACCCAACCGCTGACATCCTCCTGGTGGTGCTTCTCCACCACCTCGTAAGAATTAACACCACAAAACCCTTCTCCGTGGTGTCCCGTGTGAGAAAGGTGCCACCTCACCACCGAGAGTCTTGCCAGAGAGGTCTTTGCAATCCTTAAAAGCAGCTGGGGAAAAGCTGGTTAAGCTCCTCATTGCACCTGCCTGGATCACAGCACAAGAAAGAACCAATTTCCATAAAATTCCTCATGGCTGACCAGCGCTGGGCTCTGGAGGGGGTGGGGGGAAAAAAAAATCACAGCATGTGGAAACCAAAGCTGGAGGTGTCCCAGCAGGGGGAAGGAGAGACCATGCTGGGGTGCCCGGCCGCATCCCGATGAGGAAGAGGAGCTGGGGTGCACCTTGACGTGGAGCCGGCTCCAATCCCAGAAACAAGGAGAACAATCCCATGGTAGAGCCCCAGGGCAGAGCAGACCCTCACTACCAGCTCCCTGAGGCTCTTCTTCCAGACACAAAGACCATCTGGAATCTTGGAGACCGTTGCATTTCATCTTTGGGGTTCTCCTGATCCCATTTTCTGCCCAGGTTATGGATCTGGTACATAGACAGGCGCTGCCTCCACGTACACGTGACTGGCTGGTCCAGCCCGGCCAAAAATAAGGTGACTTTGGTGCTGTGGTTTTTACGGGAAGCGGCTGGTGTCCTCAAGCTGATGTCACTGAAAATCTGGAAATGAAAAATGAGGTTTGTTGGGGAGAGAATAAATAAAGCGGGTCCTTGTTGATTTTTGCTAAAAGTAAATTTTATTTATAAGATGTAAAATAGCTAGTGTTGGCTTTTAAAAAGCAGCCAGGAACTGGTCCGAATTGTTTTTTCCAGGCAATTTTTTGCCCTGGACTGACCCGATTCCACCCCGGCCGCAGCAGAGATCCCCAAGGCACATGGGGGTGACCGGGGCGAAAGGGGGAGCCC